AGAGAGGCTGCAAGAGCAGAAAAGAAATTGCATTAAAAGTGCTTTTAAGAATAAAGTTTCCATAGAGATGGAAAGCCACTTTTCCCCACAGGATATCGGAAGGTGGCAGGTCCTCCCAAACCAACCTGTGTGTCCCTGCTGACACCGCTTCTGCGATCCTGTTCCTCTGCAGTGGTCTGACATCTTTATAATCTACTCAGTAATTTTAGAATTGCCTCATTTTCTGTTACTGAAGATCTACGTATGCCTTTGTCTTACCTTGTCTTTATTGGCTTTGTGAAGACAACCTGTTAGGGCTCTGGTTTTGGCTCCTCTGTGCGGGTCTCGCTGGGTGAAGCGCGGCAAGGCGGCTGGGCAGCTTTCCTTTCCTTTTCTATTTTCTCCTTGGTGTTGTGGAGCATCACAGGGGTCAGGTGACGTCTTTCTGAAGGGGGAGGTTGGACCAAATCCCAACCTTGTTCTCCTGAGGAGCAGTAACTGCCCAGGAAGGGCCCCGCAGTGCGTCCCGCACAGGGGCATCTATCCCGGGGACATCAGCTCCCGCTGTGGCTCCGCTTCCTTCCCTCCGAAAGTCCCACATGGGCTCGATCACACCGTTTTTATACTGCATTTTGCTGCCTGAGGTTCATTGCAAAGAAATGGCAGCGAGGAACGAAAGGATCCCGGGTTCTCCCGCCCCGCGGGAGGCTGTTTCCAAGCTTTTTTCCCGGTCCTTTCCCTTGAGCTGCTCCCTGGCCTCCTCCCGCTGCCCGCGCGTGTCCCGGGGGCTCGGGAGCGCCAGCAGCGCTCGGGGCCCCGCGGCGCCCGCGCTCTCCCCGCCGCCGATGCCAACGCGGAGCCGCTGCAATAACCCCCCTCCCCGCGCAGAATTGGGGTTGCCATGGTTACGCGCGGGGATCCGGGGTCAGCGGGGGACAGTGTCGCATGCGGCGCCCGCGCCGCTCCGCGCACACCTGAGGCCGCGGGGACCCCGGGGGCAGCGAGCGCCGCGTCCCCGGCGGCGCGGCCTCCGGAGCTCAACCCGCCGCCGCTTCCCAAGCAGGAATCCAGGCGCGAGCGGGGCCGCGGCAAGGATCCCGCTGCGGGAAGGATCCCGCTGCAGGGACCGGCCCCGCGAGGCCGCCTCTGCTCCGCGCCTCGCTATCCGTGTGCCGAAACGCTCACACCTTACGTAAGCGCCGGCGGCTCCGCGCTGCCGGCCCTCCATAGGAAGCAGCAGGTCTGGAGCTAAATCCCGCAGCTCGGTTTGGAGCCGGGGGCCTGGTTGTTACGTTCTGTTTGCAAAATCTGCACGGAAAAGGAGGACCCGGCAGCCTGGCCATCAGCATCCTCGTTAGCCACGGTAAAATCATCCTGTTGGAGGGGAGAAACGCGGGCTGCCGAAGGCAGCAGCGGGCGGCCTTGGAGGCAATCCTTGCATTTCTTAGCAGGTCCTCAGGTGTCCGTCCTCCCGCCGAGGGAAAGCCGATCCCCGGCAGGCAGGGCCGAGAGGAGCCGCTTTGTTTTGCTCTGAAGAGCAGCCCTTGGCAGGAGCACGAGCGAAGCTGCGAGCACTTGCATCTGGCTTTTCAGATTGCTGTTTAATGTTTTGCTTTCTGCTTTCCCAATTGGGAATTCATAAAGGGAACCATTCAAAACACAGGTTTCCCATTCTGGAAAGGGAAGAAAATAACTACAGTCGACTAATATGACTAATCAGTTGCTCTGATAACAAAACCAAAAATACCTTGCAAAAATGACACTTTTTTTTAATAACAAAGAGAAGTTTTCCATTAAAATTTGTCAGAATAGTTCTAAATCTAATTTAGATTTTGAACTATTAAAAAATAATGAAGCTATGAAAAGCATTTTTTAGATTAATTTTCATTTTGCTAGCTTGGATTTTAGAAATCATTTGTTGTCCTCCAATGGAAGCTTTTATGGAAGCACAAAATATCCTTCCTAAATATCATCCTGCTGTGCCCTTGTTTTACGAAAGGCTGGAGATGACAACTGACCAGAATGTTGGGAAAGAGTTTACAAAAAATGCTTGATAGTTTGGGGAGAAAACAGCTGAGAAAGGAGGTTCCTCTTGCTCCCTTTCTCGTAAAAGTATTTTAAAAAGATACTAGCTTATAATTATTTATTTTTAGAAGCAGCTAGAAGCCTCAGCTGAGATGCAGAGGCCAGTGTGGCATCAAGGACAGTTCATCCCTGGCCAGAATCATGTATATCCCTGCTTAAAATCTGAGGGAACTATTTTGCTCCATCTCATTTCCTGAAGAATAGAAAATATTGCTTTGCCATACAAGGTTTGGTGAAATTTTTTATGGGAAATTGTCTTGTCCAGGGTGGAAACTTGGGGACTGACAAACGTGGACTTTGGAATAGCCCAAAACTCGGTGACAACGATGGATGGATGCGGGAGACCAAGAGCTGCAGGACCGGCCGCTATGGAAATGAGACCAGGGCTTCGCGGAGAAACTTCCTGCATCCTGGGTGAGCACCCGTGACCTGGAGCAGCCCAACTAGCCCAGCTGCGTCTTCCTCATGTAATGGAAAATGTAAAAAAGCGCGACTCTAATCCCAGATTTTCATCTCAGTGCAAGGAATATCAGAAAAAAAAAAAGTAAAATGAAGTATTTTCTCATGAGCTGCAAGTAAAATAATGCTGCAGTGATTCTCCAAGTGTTTTAGGTGGTTCAGAATGCCTGCAAGTTGCTATTTTAAAAACACTAAACTAGAAAAATCACATATTATCTGAACCTTTTGTTCCCCAGTGGTTTGGTTTGGTTGTTTCCCCGTTACGTGAGCCCCGGGGCAGCGACGGGGCTGTCACTGTGTCCCATCCAGGGCCTGCAATGAGGGCAGCCCCCGCCTGCCACCGTGCCACCAATCCCCCCCACTCCATCCAGGGCCTTTGTCACCGCAAGCGAAACAGGAAACCTTGAAAAAGTAGAAGTGTGGCTGTAATTAGGATTAATCTATTTTTAGCAGGCTGTCTGGTGCCCTGTCCATGCTCCAGCTGAGTTGTTGTTTAAATCTATCTAGCTTGAGTCGTTGTGCAGTCGCGCCCCAGAATGATAGGATTTTTTTAAAAAACATCAGCTTGCTAGGGTTTTTATTTATTACTATTGTTTTGGTACATTTTTTTTTCTTTTCTTTTTTTAAATAACTCTTTATTTTTCATGTATAATGGGAATCCAGCTGGAAAATCCAGCACTAGAGAAATACAAAACTGCGTCTGAATAAAAAAAGTTGCACACTTTTTTACATTATTCATTGTACTGTGTACTTTGGAAGCCTAGTCCTGGATTAGAAATATATTGTACCACGAGCAACACGAACAGCACAAAAGGGGAATCACCCTTAAAAGCTATATTGATTAAAAACATGGAGTGATACCATTAGGATTTCTCTTAAACAGCACCAGGAAAACATGTTAAAGATTTAGACAGACAGCTGTTATTTACTAATCTTGTATTTAAATACCTACTCGTCACATGGCTACCATTTTTAATGTATTTCTAAATGCAACTTTAGTATTATTAAAGTATGATTATCTGTTAGTGCAACACAACTGGACTGAGTCCAAGGAAGGCCACCTCTTGGTTGCCTTGAGCAGGGATTTTTCCCCAACAGCTGCCTGGGAAAAGCTCAGCTTTTGCAAACACTCGTGAAAGGTGCGGGGCCGAGCGCCTCCGGAGCAGCACGGAACCAGCCTGGCTCTTGGTGCTGGTCTCCATGCGCTGGCGGGATGTGGAAAGGTCACTCACCTTGAAGGAGGGAATGTGAGGCTGGTTCCTCCTTGGCAGGGTGGAAGGGGCTGGTTCCAGGCCCCTATTTGTGCCTCAGCGTGGGCAGAGGAGCTGTGCCCCGAGGCCCGCGCACGCTGTGCTGGCGGCAGGGAAAGCCCAAGGACGAGCTGCAGGTGCTGGAGCGCCCGTTCCTCCCGCCCAGGAGCTTCCTTTGGGGAAAAAAAAGAGCATTTCTCAGCATATCACTTCCCCGCTATGTCCCGTCCTGTAAAAAGCACAGCCTGGAGCCATGTCCTGCCCAACGTGTGGGGCTGTTTTCCTCTACCCTCACCTCTTGCTCCTCTCCGCCCATGTATTTTGGTGACTCACGAAGCCTCGCAGTGCTGAGCACGGAGCCTGGCTATTTCTGTGCTGCCACTGCAATCCGCGCTACCTCCAGCCGCGCTGTCAGGGCACCTCAGCCATGCAGAGCACCCCCGCGGGCTCTATTCTTAGCAGCTAATAGCTGAAATAATTACTTTTGTCTCAGCACTGTTGGCTCCTTAGATTTGGAATGTCGCAAAACCTCCCGCTCACGGAGTCTCTCTGCCCCCTTCTCCCTTTCCCATAGAAAGCAGAGCAGCACAGGGATGCGGGGGCCAACAAGCCAAATTCCTGCTATTTCCTATGCTGTGCTGGCTAGAAATGCTGCAAGGTAGCAAGGGATATAAGCAGTGCTGTCATTTGAGCCTGCTAAATATCCTGAACGCAGCTTCGACATGGGGTATAAGCTCTGCTTTGAAGACGCTTGCATGCTAATGTGGTGCCACCTCTTTGAAAAGCATCTTAGCTCTTCCAGCTGGGAGTTTCTATGACTCCATGGAATAAATTCCAGGTCTGCAGCCTTTCAAAGCAACGGCCAGGTTCTCACCTGCAGGTTTCCACTGCAGTGCCTGCTCTACGGCCTGGCCCAACCTGCACAAGGAAGAATACGAGCGTTTTATGTAAATCTGACTAATACGCAGCTCTTCCTGACAGCTAGTGGGAATTCACCCCCTTCTCTAGCTTTGCAGTCTCTTGATCGCAACATCAGCTCTTCCCTCTGCTTTCCGTGAACCAGCCACTATAGATGAACATGGGGGTGGAGGAGGGAGAAAACGTAAGAGCTGAACAATACTGAGCCGAGGGTAAAGCACTGTGTGCCATTTAAAACACTCCTTCACGGACTCTGGAAGCTGTGGAAGTAAATATCCTAACTGGGGGGTTGCCAGGCTCCTGTTCCCTGGAAATCTCCCTGATTAGTGATGGTTGGTGCAGCATTTTGGTGCTGAGAAGCATTTGTGTGCATCACTGTCCAGATCTGTGAAAAAAGAAGGAAGATTTCAAAGTTTTGCTTCTGCTTTTGTTTTATGACAGAACCTCCCCTAAATAACTTCCTATCAATTTCCTCTACAAGCCACACTGTTCAGGCAGCTTCTATTTCAAATGACAGTTAAATTCACTGAGTGGGGGGATTTTTTTTTTTTGCAGTAAGGACTATAATTAAGCAAGAGGCACAGCTTGAGTAAAATCTGGGAGCAGGGAACTCCCAAATTTCAGTATCAGCTTTAATACTGATTCCATATGTGATCTGCGGCAGATTATTTAGCCTCTCCTGCAAAACTGTCTTAATACCATTTTAAATAGGCACCCATTAAAAACTTGCCAATTCCCCTAGGTAACAACTAGCAGCATTATTCTTTAGTCGCCATCAATGTAGACAATTGTTTCACTAGAGCAAATAATTAAGGAGGATTTTTTTTAAGAAGCACAATTTGCTCAGTATTCCAGCTGTCAAATTAATAGAAAATCTTAAAAACTAATCACCTTCTGATTAGTGAAGGCTAGGGGAAATAGTCCTAGGAGGCAGGCGATTGTGCCAAGTGTATATGCTGCTACTTCTTGAATGGAGTTGGTTGGGAGTTCTATGCTGAAATTTATTTTAGTTGGAAATCATCAGTTCACTGGAGTTGTATTTTGCGAGAAAGCAGCAGCTTTGGCAAATTTCACAAATTGAAAAACAGATTTAGAAGTAGTATTCCATAGCAGCATTTTTTAAAAAATACTGCTTAGCATTTTAAAGCAGCTTTCTGGAGTTTTGGGGTTGTAAATTGAGGAAGAGAGTGCTAAGCGTCCTCATCAACATCCCCCTGCCTATCTTTACCTGATTCTTTGCTGCTTCAGTTTCTGCCCATCTGCTGCCCAAGGTCATGTGCCGAGATGTCATTTCCATGGATCCTGAGGTCGAGGGGTTACCCACGTGCACAGCTGCACGGACTTGCTGAGTCTTGGGCAGGAATCTGTTTGGCATCGTCGAGGCCTTTGGATTAGATCTTACCCGTTCAGCTAATCAGGAACATGCCCTGATTCCACCAGCCGGCGTTTCCTGCAGTCAGATGGAAGGTGCGGCCCGTGGCATCCGAGCCGGCACCGGCGCCAGCGGCAGGTCTGTGCGGCGCCAGCAGGAACACTCCGGGCATCCTCCTTAGTGGGTGGCCAAGGGTATTTTATCACCCGCCATCCCAGTAACTTTTTCGACAACATTCATGAGATTTAGACAGCCGGAACTCCGTGTCACTACTGCGAGGGTCACTGTGGTGTTGATAATAGAAAATAACGTGGGAGTTGCAAATGAGCCCTGAAGATGCAACTCTAGGTACTGTTTGGCATGCTTGGCACTGGTGACACTCCTACTGCCAATATTTACTCCTGAAAGCAAGCAAAAATACCTAGTGAGAAATAATCAAAGCTCCATTTTATTTTCCTGTCACAACACTGATAACATCACTGCGTGCTAAAAGAATTAGTCAACTGTCCCATTTCTGAAGCTCTTCTTCTACCCTGAAACAGGCTTAAGTCCAGATCCGTGGTGGGTCTTAAAGGTCCCCGTCTAGGCCTGGCTGCTGTGAGTGCTGGCACATTCCTGGTATGTTGTAAAGCCGTAACATACTGATGGGAAGAACAAGGAATTGGAAAAGCCCATCACAGCCGCACTGCTGATGGAGCTTGCGAGGTTAACTCAGGGGTAGGCAAGAGCAACCCAGACTGTGTAATATCCCCTAAAAGCCCAGCCTGCTTTAGAGTATCAGCTCTGACTCATCTGAGTAGCCGTAGCACTCGCACGATTTTACCTTCATTAACTCAAGCACTTCATGCTTGTGGCTTTGGCCACACGGCATGTATGGAAGGGTTTAATCTCTGTGGGTCTCAGTGCATGAGAAAACAGGTCTTGTGGCATTCAGCTGACGGGAGGCACTGCTACCTTGGGCTGCATGGAGTTCCATCCCCCCTGCATCAGTTAGAGGAAACCTTCTACATTCCCTGTACCGGTGGCTGCTCCGTTTACAAGGGTCATTCTCTGCCCACGAGCACCCCGAGCTGCTCTCCAAGAGGCACGGCTCGCGGGACACTTTTTTCCTTTTCTGAAAAATCCTATCTGAGACACTGAGTGGAGCCTGCCATTCTTCTCATTTGTGTCTGTGTGTAACAGGTGTCATTTTCAGTATAGTAGACAAAACCCAAAATAGCTCAAGCTCTTCAGACACTGTGAAGATTTAAAAAAAAAAAAAAAAAAAAAAGTGGCTAATTCAGCTTTGGTTCTAGAGAAAAACCCAAAGCTCACAGCCAGCACTGAAGTCCAGAATTAAAATGGCAGATATATGCGGGTGATGGTGGCATCTCTGGCTTCTCTCCTTTCCCAATGGCCTGTCCCTCTCCCTTCTCTCGTACGTGCAGACTGACGCATGAGCTCCCTCGTATCGTGCTGGCTTCCCCCTAGCTTCTCTTGGTTCCCAGATGCTGTATCTATCACTGATCCTCCTCCACGTTTCCCAGTTTTGAGGATACAAGCCTAGAGAGTGCTGACTCGTTTGCCTAGCGTTGAGGCTGGCTGCATTGCTTAATGCAGTGGACTTCTTGTGGGCATGGAGGCAAGGAGAAAGCGGCTCCTCTGCAATATTTCTCTTGCCTGATTATGGGCTGAATGACATAGCTGTTTGGTGAACTTTCTTGGACAGAGATTATTGGATTCTGGGGGCTCCAGGGACGCAGTTAGTGCTCCTGCCTACAGACAGCACTGTGAACCTGTGCGTGTGCTAACACTTACAGAGGCTGCTGGGACTAGCAAGGGCCTGCAGCTTGCCAGCACTTCCTGCGACCGGCTCCACACGCTGCATCTGCTGGGTGGCAGGAGCCCGCGGAGCTCGCTGTCCCGAGGCCAACGTCGCGGGGCCACCCGGCTCCAGCAGCCGTTTCACACTTTCATGCCCACAGGCCTGCAGTTTGCTCACAAAAGCACTTCCTTTGCGGCTGCACGTGCTGCAGGCACATCGAGGAGCACGCGGGCCTGAAATATTTGCTTTTCCCACACCAAAGAGTAGTTCCTGTCAGTGAAACAGTTAATTAAAAAGCACTAACACTAGAGAGTGCGTGCATGTGCGCGCGCATGTGTGTGAGTGTGCATGTTTGTTTTCTAGAGCCGAGAAGAGTTGCTTTGGTTGTTTTAAAAACAGAAACCACCACAAAGCTGGCTGTGGTTTCAGCTGCGCTTGCTGGGGATTTGTATTGCTGACTACCAATCCTAAAAGAGTTAACCCAGCAGCGTGACTCAGAAGCAGAGAAGGAGATGCGACGCTGACAGGCTTGGAAGGAAGCACAGAAACAGAGGTGAGGAACATAACAACGACAGGGGAAAAAAAGAAAGGGAGGGAGAAGAAGGTGCAGCGCGCGGGAGCGACTTCTCCCTCGGCGTGCCTGGCCCTGGCACTGCTGGCACGGGCTCCCTGGAAAGCTGCAGTTCCGCCGGTATAACACAGGGAGCAGGCTGGAGAATTTAGAGCTGCGTCACAGAGCTCGGAGAGAGAGCGAGAGAGCAAGCTCCGTCGATAGGTCTACCAGCAACAGCCCTGCTGCAGCAAGAGGGGAGAGAGGCAGCAGGGGAGAGGGCTGAGGCAAGAGGAGTGACGCCAACCCTGGGCACGGGGCTCCTGCCACCGGCCAGCACCGCTCGCGGGAGCCCATCCGGGCTCCATCGCCGTGGGGAGCTTCGCCCGTTGACGATGCTGGAGATACGGCGCGCTTAATCCCGCGGGGAGGGAGAGTGGGCAGACACCGAAAGGGTTAACGGAAGGGAAATTTCTGGAACCTTCTATTCTGCGGCGCTCCGCAGCGAGCGCAGGGCTGAGGACTGCGCAGAAGGAGCACGGACAGAGCTCTTCGGTCCAGTTCGTCTCTCCCACGTACGTACCCTTTGATCTGGATGGGGCTCGGACGGCAGATACGTATTTTTAATTATTTGCAGGGCGTCCCCTTCCCCCTTCGTCCCTAAGTTCAGATCCCCAAGTGCCCTTATTATTATTTTGGCTGGGTGCGACTGCTCTGCTCTGCGTCAGAGCTGTTTTCTCAATGGAGCGATGGCACAGGTTGTACTAATGTCACTCTTGCCGGCATTGCTGTAATGCAGAGGAGAGCAGCAGTCGTGGGGGAGAGATGACAACTTTGCAAGGGCTGCTGCTTTCGGGTTCTGCCGGGGTTTTTTTTATTCCCTGCTGTCTCCCTGGAGGCGAGCGTGTTGGCGGGGGCTCGCTGGAAGGGTTAACAGGCGCCCTGCGCTTCGGAGCTCGGCGGTTCGGCACTGCGTAGTTGGGAAAGTGGCGAACGGTGACGCAGTGCTCACTGCGGGGCACGGCGGCCCGTGCGGGCGCGCGCCGGGGACAGGTACGCAGCGCCTTCCAGACGCTTCCAACGCAGCTCCAAGGGGTTAAGGATGAGTCGAGCCGGGAAGGCAGCATTTAGGGATTAAATGTCATCATTTTGGCGTTGGAAAGTTGTTTACCTTGCTCTCGCCGTGTCTCCATGCTGGCAGCCGTCCAGCTCACATGTGATAGTCTTCCCTGTACTGCTGCATCATTAACTAAGTGGCCGAGCGCGCTGCCGATTGGCCGGGGAGGGCTCTCGCCGCCAGCCCCGCCGCGCTATTGGCCGGGAAGGCGCTGGCAGGTGAAAAGCCGTCGCTGATTGGCTGCTGAGCGGGTGTCAAATCCGAGCGTGGCTCCCAAGTGCCGGGACGGCTCCGGCTCTGGCGGCTCCCGCGGGGCTGGACGGGACGGGTCCGGGCGGAGGCGGGAGCTCCCGCGGACGGGACGGGACGGGGTGCGGGCGGACACGGGAGGCTCCGTGCAGCACCCGGGGCCGCCGGGTTTCGTTTCGCTGCGCAGTTGTCGCAATGACGTCTCCGAGGCGCTGGCCACGGGCGGCGGGAAAGTCCTGGGGTCCGGGGCTTTTTGTTTTCTTGCTTTCTTTCTTCCTCATAAGGGAGTTAGCTGCTAAGTTGGGGAGCCCCGACGTGGAGAGGGGGGCAGCAGCGCAAGGTGCCCGGGGCAGGGGCTGCATCTGCACATTATGGCACGGGAGTAAGGGCAGAAGAGAAAGGCTCTGGGCTCAACTCTGCTTGCATTTACGTAAGCCCAGGTCTGCCCGAGTCTCGGTAACATCACGGAGAGCTCAACACAGCCCTGTACAGGTCTAGAATAAAATAACCGCATTAGAAAACAGGTAAAAAAGCAGGACTGGAAAGAGGCTACGTAAGGATGAACAGGAGACCAAGGGCAGGCAGCCCATCCACAGAGAGGACAAGGAGATGAAGATGACGAGGCCATTTTACCCTCTTAACTATTTACTATACTGTTTTTTCCACCTCTCTTCCTAAAGCGAGCGACAGCGAAGATGGCAGCTCTGCCTGGAAGTCCTGACGACACAACCAGATTTGAGCTTGGTCCTTCTGGCCGAGGAAGTCAGCCGCTTATGCAGTGGAGTGGTAACTTGTGCTTTCTCATACGGCAGGGAACGTTCTTCCTCAGCCTTCCCGCACATTGAGCTTCAAAATAATTTAGGGCATGGAGGTCCGTGCAGTTGTTACTCACTCGCTGAGATCCCAGAGGCAGGTTGGGCAGGAATGGCTGGGGTAGAACCATGGTCTCCGTCTCCGCGTCCCCCCGGCGGCAGCTCCGCTCGGTCGATCTCATGCCCTGCGCTTCTATCCCCAGCGCCATCTCTTTGCGCAGTCACACCGAGGGGAGAGGACCGTTTCCAAAGGCAGCGCCCTGGGAGGAAAAGGGAGGGAAGGCAACAAGGCGGTAGATGCTGCTCCCCACCCTTGTCCTCCTTCCCTTGTGCTTCTTGCCCTCCTCCTTTTCCGCCACACTCCAGAGGGAATTTCAGGCTCTTACTGCAGTCGTCACGGCCCCTCCTGACTCATGGCGCCTTCGCTGGCTGTAGCTGCCTCCCTTGGAGC